TGTGTGTGTGTGTGTGCATTATAGTGGATCAGTCTGACTCTGCATGGTTTCTTTTCTCAGCAAGCCTTTCAGCACAAGAAGACGGAAACGCCACAGCCACTACTGAGAAAGCGCCTGGCATGTGACAAGCTTTACTCAGCCTTAAACCTTTCGTCTCTTATCCTGTCTTTCACACATATACACAAACTTTGTGATGGATGCACACAAAGCTTTTTCTCACTCTATTGCATCCAGTTACCTTCTAATTTTCTTCTTCTCTGTCTCACTCTTCCTCTCTTTGTGTGGCTAGAGATTATTCAAAAACAATGCCACTGTCACTCTCAACAGCAACAACAAAAAACGCTTATGTTTTTTCCTCATTTGTAGGTGCCTTGAATAATAGCATCTGCTAACTGATTAAATGCAATGAAAAACACTCAATTCTCCAGGGAAGATTTCTATGAGAAATAAAACACTTCTCAATGAGTTCTTAAACACTATTCTTGATCTAATGAAGGCTATTGTTTTGTTTGCATGTCTGAAATGCTGGGAGTCCCACTCATGTATTCTTGACTGATAAAATGAGAAGGTCCAATCCTGTTTATTTAGTACATTTTATAATAATAATGAATAAAAATATTAAACCATGAAACCAAGTTTTGTTTTCCTTAAACAGTGTGATCTCACCTTTGACCGGAAGGGCTCAGGGAATCCTCCGTGTGGTATTCCAATGTGTCCTTGCAGGAACTCCACAACAGACAGAGGGAAGGAGAGCTCGTCTGCTCTCTCTTCTACCTCAGCCCGGGAGAGAGAGTTCTGCACCATGAACTGAGCCAGATCACCCACAATCTTAGAGGAGGGGGTCACCTGAAGAAACAAAAGTGATATAGAGACAGAAATTATGTCCAGGAAACAGTTCTTCATTTCTGGAAACTTTTAAAACAAACTCACACAGCACATTTCAAAAGAAAGGACTTCAAACTGAAAATCTACCTCCTTAGTCAGCTAGAAATGTTCACCCTGTTCAAAATGCACACGATTCTACTGACAAATTGAGCATAATAATCAACTCACATTGTAATGCTGCAAACCCCAAGAACAGATAAAGAGAACATGACCTTTAAGAACATAAACTCAAAACAATTCAAGAAACCGAAAGAGGATTTGATTTGTGGAGAGGTTAGATTGAAACAAGGGGTTACTTTCTTTTAAAAGGTATAGTTAACCTATCATTTACTGAGTAGTAAATGGACATATTGAATGTAAGAAGGTACCTTGTGTTTTGAAGGTTTGAAGAATATTCTGGTTAAAGGATTCAATTAAAAGATCTGAATCAAAAGAAGGGTTAGTTTTCAAAGTACTTACCACTTCTATGATAACTTTATTTCGTTTCATAATACTGGCCATTGTTTTTGAGGATATTCTAAAAATTCGCCTCGTGTCCCACAGTAGAAAGTAAGTCACATGAGTATGAAGCAACATGAGGGTGTGTGATTCATATTTTTGCAAGAATCATTCCTTAAAATGTGAACAACACCAAATAATTAGAGAAAAAATTCTTCACATCTATTTTAGACATTCTCTAAAGGTCATTGAGATTCAGCCAATAATGTGAATGTATGAAGAGTTAAAGATTCAGGAGAGAGACAGAGAATGAGAAAAGAAACCAACAGAACAAAACAAGAGAGTGAGAGAACTATATGAAAATAAGAGCTCCATGAGGATTTGAGAAGAGGAAAGACACACAGGATGAAGAAAGAGAAAAAGCAAGAGATTATGGGGAGGAATAAAATGTTAAATGTCACACCATTTTTCCTTCCCATAAATAGTTCAGCATTCTGCGAAAAAATACCTTATGTGCAGCAAAACTGCTGTCAGCTTTTCAACTTGCAGTGTAGGCGAGAACTTTAAAAGTGTTGCCTTAAAAAAATGTACCATAGTAGAGTATTGGCATATCAGATATTTTGATATGTGCCACAGTAATGATTATTATATTATAGCTACTATTATTATAGTAATGATTACATAGTGCTCCAAGGCATTTTAAAGGATATCACACTGTAGCGATAACATGGTATTGCTGTGTTGCCATGCCCAAAAAACATACTTTTTTTTTTACAAATTAAACAAACAAACAAAAACTGTAACCACTCCAGGACTGGATGGTTGAAAGTAGGTCAAAAACGGAAAGAAATAGAGTGATATTTAGGATTAAGTTTTGTAACAGAGTCCTAGACAAAGGTTACGCAATCTTAGCTTAAATACAAAGCCACAGACATGACATGTGCAAAGGCTTTGGCAACAACCCCCACAGACGCTGAGTGACTCGGGCACTGCTAGGACTGTAGATCATAACACAGTGCAGACCTCCAATTATAAAACTTATTTTGCACATAAATATCAACATTACAAACCTTTACATAAGTTACACATGTTCTTTGAACAATATTACAATTCTGACACTCTTGCATATCTCTCTTCTGCTTCAGAAGTTCAGTCATCTCAGCCAGGGAATACTGTTCATAGAGAAGTGACTCTCCGTAAGATGTCTGGATAATCAAATGTGATTTCACTAAATTAAGCGTGACATGAGACATTGGTTGAGCTCAGAATAGCAGAGTATCGTACTATTTTGCAGTGTGTTATTGTGGGTATTGCTCACAACTCTAATCGGTGTTACATTTGATAAATGTTCATAAAATGGGATATATATGCTTAGTATTAAAAAAAGAAAACATTAGCTTTCGAGAATGCAGTCATAATGTTTTGAAAATAAACTCATAATAGGTATTTTTTTAAGTAGTATTCAAAGACATTATGTTTTTCCCCTCAAATACATTACATAATACATAATACATAAAAAAATACATTACAAACACTAATACTGTGAAATATTTTTACAATTTAAAATACCTGTTTTCTATTGTAATATATAATAAAATATGAGTTATTCCTGTGATGGTAAAGCTGATTTTTTTTTAGCAGCCATTACTGCAGTCTTCGTTGTCAAATAATCATTCATAAAACATTCCAATGCTGATTTGGTGATCAAGCATTTCTTATTATTATCATCAATTATTATTATTATCATTTATTTGATATAGAAATCTGGTAACACTTTAGAATAGGAAACACATATTCACTATTAACTAAGAGTTTTCCCTGAACAAACTCCTAATCAGCTGCTTATTAATAGTTAGTAAGGTAGTTGTTAATTTAGGTATGGGGTGGATTAAGGGATCTAAAATATAGCCATACAAAATAAGGCATTAATATGTGCTTTATAAGTACTAATAAACAGCAAATATGCTACTAATATGCATGCTAATAAGCAACTAATTAATAGCTAAAATTTGATCCTTAAATAAAGTGTTACCAGAAATCTTTTGTAAAAAGATTGATCAAATTAAGACATCCTTGCTGAAAAAAGTGCCAGTTTCGATCTCATTTCCATTAGTTTGATTGTTTGTATGCATATTCATGCGTATTCATACATAAATGATGACCTACTTTCACAACTGATTTTGCAGCATGTTCTCCTTTCTCAGGATTTTATCTGTTGTGTTTTTTTCCCCCAACACATTCTTTTAACTTTAACTTTACTCATTTTTAATATAACATTAAAAATGACCCTTAACTATCCGCTTAGCTAAATAAACAACAATATTGCACATGATTTCATCACACTTTGCTGGGAAACAAGAAACTGAAAAGAGTATATATATATTACATCTTCAGGAATTTATTTCAGGCCCTGATACAGAACATGATATTTGCACTAGAGCATTTGTCAAAACATGCAAAATACTTTTATTATTATTATTTTTTGTAAAGACCCGAAGTCACTCCAAACTTAAACAACCAATGTAGTAAGTTCATGTGACAAGAATGTGGCATGTTACCATTTGAAAAAATTTAATATTACATACTACTTAACATACTACTTTTTAAAACAGTACAT